ACATAATCATAAGTCTGTTATAATGGGTTTCCAAGCTTGTGTCAGCCCTGTCCCACGCCACCAGGGTTCTTAAAACTGAAATTTCAGTTAAAAGAGTAATATGTGCCCCTCTCGCCCCTCCTCTGCTTCTCTCTCCCCTGCCCTGGCCTTTCAGTATGCACAGATTTTAAGAGAAAGACTGCGAGAATCCGTTCATGATGTTCAGTACGTAGAGCCTCCGTTTGAGGACTCAGCTGCTGATGTGGGGAAGGAATGGAAGAGCGCCCTGGCGAAGTTAAAGTTTGCTAACTCGTATCGAATGGAGCCATTGAAAAAATTCCAGGCTCATTCAGTAGAAACCAAAGTCCAGCAGGTACTAAAGGTAGGTTGGCAGATACGTGCAATAGCAATAGCTTAGCGCTGAGGGCTTGGGAGCTGCGTTGAGATTTATGGCGGGGTAGTTACCCTGATAGATTTTTTTACCATTTATCTCTGAAAACATGAAAGTACTTTGTAGTCACACTCAGTGATCTTCACGTTGACACCATGATTAAAGCTAGATTAAAGGGAATATTCTTTTGCTATTTTATTTAACTCTTAATCATCCATAAGTTATCTCTCAGCTTCCGTGTTTCTCCCATATTTGGAGAAATGAGTAAAAAAACAAATTGAATACATGTATGTGTGTGAAAAACTGGTTCAGGACTAGACTATAAAACGTCTTAAGAATGGGCCGTCCCCAAGTTACGCATAGGTTTTCTTCTCCCTTAAACTCGCTGGAGCCTAAAGTTCATTTAAGACCGTTGTTGGAAACTTGCACACGTTTTCAGGCTCGCCCCACAAAGCTTCTTCAGTCTTACAAAGCTGATTCTGTAATATTCCTATTAACACCAGTATTACTTGCGCTAGTTCTGGTATTGATGGCTGCCTCATGTGGGCAGAAAGAACTCCCCTCACCGCCCTTCCCCACGGGGCACCAAAGTAAGACATCTCCAACTGGAGACTGTGTGTGTAAGAGGCCACTGTTGCTGGGCCTCCTTTTCACCCCGGTCACAAGTTCGCCTTCAGGCACTGGCACCTTGGGGCTTCTGATGACCTGGTTCCCTTTGCGGGACCTCCCAGCCTAACCCCACCCCAGGGATCGTCTTAAATCCTCGTCTTCAGACTACCTGCCCCCACCTCCAGTTTACAAAATGCATTCCTTGAGCAACAACAGATGTAAGCTAGCTTCTGGGGAAAAAATACATGTGTAAGGCATTTTGTATAAATGATTAACACCCCTTTAATTGTATCAAAGTTAATTCTTAGCTGAATTAGCCTTTATTAATACAGAAGACCATTTAGGAAGCCCACCCTCCAATCTCCCTCCCCCACCACAGACATAGACACATTTCTAAACTGGACTAATATTGATCAGATAATACCTGGTAAAGATGTTAATGCTCATGGCTTTAGGAAATAAAGAAATTCAACTCAATTAATACAATAAAATAGTTACTAAATACCTTCTCTGATCTAAACACTAATAGCAAGCATTTGTGATTTGAGTATGTATTTTGGTATGTCTTTCACTCAGCCCTACCGCGTAGAGTGAGTTCAAGTTTATTGAATATAGTAGAATTTTACATTGTATTTACATATGATAATTTACAGGATTGCATTGAGCACAGTGGGGCCTGAAACAGCTACTGGATTTGCAGGTGGAAACCTGGGCCCCCAAAGAGGCCAGGGGTTTTCCTCCAGGTTCAGGGAGCCTAGGATGCAGTTCTAGGCACAGAATGTGTGCACTGATAGGGTGTCAGATTGGCCTAGACCAAGTGGTCAGTATTTATGAAAAAAGAACTCATATGTAGATAAAACTTGGGATCAGTTCAGAAGAGAGAAAGAATGTTGCTGTGTGTCCAAAGACTGAACCACAGCCAAATGCCTGAAGGGGCTAAGCGCTTCTAGTCCCAGTTCGGATCCAGAAGCACCAAGAAGGGAACCAGAATCAAAAGAAACTCACCTCAGTTAGCTAGCAGGCATCCATCTGTTATCACCACAGCCCAGAACGTCAGTTAATTTATCACTGGTCCAAGTCAACCATTCAGAGGCAGGTGCTGTCTGCTCACCAGAAGGTCCAGGTCTGCTTTTGGTCTGTAGGAAAATGCAGTGCTTCCTGGCCCCCCTCTGTCTTCCCCAGCTGTGCATTAATTTACTGACAAACACGATCAGAAGCTTTGATGTCCTTGTTACTCCTGGAGGCCCCAGAAAAAAGCAGTGGAGTGAGAAGCCACAGGGAGATGGTTAGAAAGAAGAAATGGCCTTTGATTTATGATTTAGGAAGACAAGAATAACATTATGCAGGCTCTGGTTCCAAGGTTTGTTTTAGGAAAACCCAGATCTGAATTTTAGCAAATTTACACACTTGAAAAAGATTTTAGATTCCCTACATGAGAATTCCTGGAAGCTTTGTTTTAAAGTTCCTTTTGTGTCACCCTAGTAACTGGTAGAGTAATCTAGTGAAGGAAAACTTACAGCCTAAAGGCTGGTAATATTGAGCAGCTGAACATACTTTAAAAACCAAACTAAATTTTCCTCAAAAGCATTCTTGAAATAAATTGTTAAGCATATCATTCATTTAGTATTATTTGGTTAGAAATATGTGTATTTTTCCAAAACTTATATTTAATAATTAGACACATTTTTACTTCAATTTTTATTTATAAAATTTTTTCTTAATTTTTTTAAAGGAAAGCCTTAAAGATGTCAAATACAATGATCAAGTCTTCTCTCATTTGTCGCTTGAATTAGCAGACCGAATATTGTCAGCGGTCAAAGAATTTGGGTACTACCGCTATAAGTTCATTATAAAAATCTTATTTATTCAAAAGACGGGCCAGGCAATCAACGTAAGTACCTCACTGTCATGTCTCCCAAGTCCGCATGTGCGGGTCCCCGTAGTTACAGGGTTTATGGTGACGTCCTGCAGGCACTCCCAGATCCTGGGGAGCCTCTTGAATGGAAGGCTGCCTTTGTGAACTGTACTTCCTTTCATTGTGAATTATTTGAAAAATACTAACCTCGAAATGTCCGTTTTCCATGACTAATTTATTGAGCTGTGTGGCTGTGCTGTTCCATGCTCATTCCAGTTTTGACAATTTAAAGTCATTTACTAACTAACCAGCGAGTGTACTGAAGGCACCTAAGGGTAACGGTTCCGAGGAAAACACAGAAAATGACAAGCCGTCGCCCACGCCTCCCAGGAGTCTCGCTCTGGCCGGGGGTGGACACCAGCTCAGTCTGGAGTTAGGACAATAAGACGGCGGGGGTGTGTGGCGGCCTGGGGCCCAGGGCCCCCCTGGCCTGGACTGGAACCCTGCCCGTGGCTGGGACATGGTTTCCCTTCTGTAAAATAAGGGTGATAAAACCTACTCGCTAGGTTATTGTGAAGAGTTAACGAGCTTATCTGTGTTAAAACCCTTGACGTAGTCTCCAGCCCAGAGGCCTCCCTCAGCAGAAAGGTACATCACTGTTACAGACAGACGAGAGCGCAGCGTCCCCAGGGCTGTGCACTTCTAGTGAGGGACAGTGAGTGTGTGGGGGCTGGACACAGCCGGCAGGGCTTCGTGGAGGAGTGGGCGGCACATGGATGCAGGCGGGGGACTTGGACACAGAGGCTGCTGGCCTCATGGCAGGCAGCCAGACCCCAAGGCTGGAGAGGGTTACACTGTGGGCTACATGCACTCGGGGATGAGACGCTTGCAGACGGTGACAAGTGCCCTCCAGACAGAGTGGCTCCTTGGGGCTGTCTGCAGACAGAGAAGGCCCCTGATGTCTAAATGACCCGGGGAGCCGGCTGGGCCAGAGGGCGGGGGGCATCCAGGCCGGCGCAGTGCGAAATGCTGAGACCGGGCCGATTGGAGTGCCTGGTTGCCGCCAGAGGGTCTGCGGTGCAGGTGGGCAGCCCCACCCCAGAACTCAGCAGCCTAAAACTCCAGCCATCTGTCTGGCCATCATTCTGTGAGTCGCTCGGCCTGGATCAGCTGTTGGGATTTTTGCTGGTCTCGAGGGTTCACCTGAGCCGTCCGGTGACTCGGCTGGGCCCAGAGGGCCAAGACGGCCTCGTTCGTGCGTCTGACAGTTGGTGCTGCTGCTGGCTGGGCACTGGTTCTCCTGCACAGGAGCTGACATCCTCCCGTGGACTGAACAGGCTTCCTTACACGCAGGGGGCTCCTCCCCGCAGGCTGGGAGGTGAGAGCAGAGGGCCTCTCAAGGCCTTCCTTGGAGGTTGCACAGTGTTAACGTTCGTCTGCTCAGACCAAGTCCCAAGGCCAGCTCACAGTCAAGGGGTGGAAAATAGACTCAGCCTCTTGATGGGCAAAGCCACAGAGGATTTCTGACCATTTCTGATCCAGCACAGAAAAGTCAGACCATGTAGGTGAAGCAAAGGATTTAGGGTTTTCTCTGTAGCCTGCTGTGTAATCAGTGCCATTTCTTCATTTCCAGACAAGGTCACAGCAAACTTTCGTTTGAAAATCTTTCAAGGGTGGGAGGAGTAATTCCTTATTATGGACTATCACAGCAGAATGGCTCTGCATGCAGGACCTCCAGGCCCAAATTACAGGGTGCCTCCTGGACCTGCCCGGACACTCTGCTAAGGGAGTGTTAGTGTTCTCTCCCTGCGTCGGGTAACTACCAGCTCCAGTGAAAGAGAAGACAGACTCAGGAAGCATCACGATTAAGTCTTTTCAGGAAAGGGAAATTTGGACAAACTACTTGTCCAATGTAACTTTCTAAGATACTGACACATCTTTATAAAAAATCAAACTTGTATAGATTTTAAAATTCCTTCTTAACGTGTTCAATCTAAAGTTGGCCTTCTAAAACTTTGTCCTGCAGGTTGCCAGTAGATGGATCTGGGATGTCGCGTGGGACAGCTGGGTGGCCGTGAAACACGAAGCGGAAACCTACGTAGCCCTGGCCTTGGTGTTCGCACTTTATTGTGAATAGCTTGTTACGTGGGCTAAAGGACATTTGCTTCTCAACTTTTCAAAAATACATGAAATCTGTAGATTTGTGAACCTCATAGTAGTTTTGATAAGCTATATTTTTATCTCCAATTGCAGCTTCTTAATTGTATTCTTTTTCACAACAAAGTAAATGCTGGATTTTTCCCTTTACACTTACTAGTTATCATATTTACTAACGTTGTATTACCCAAAGTATAGAAGTCTAAGAGGTATGCTTACATGCTTATATATATGTATGTGAATGTGTGAATGCTGGTAGTAGAATCATATGCAAACAGTATCATCCTTGTTAGAGTTAAGAAAGTTAGAATTCGCTACAGAAAATTATGACACAAATTAAGTGTCAACTTAAGTAAGTGTTAAGATAGATTTTGGAAAACCTCCAAAAGCAGATGTATTTTGAACAGCATCTCAATATACTGCATGCATTCTTTTGAAAGGACTTACCAAGTTTGAAAGAAAGATGTTGATAGATTTAATGCTTCCCTAACGAGCACCTCCCCCTCCAGTCAAAACACAAGTGTGCAGACCGTTTGTTAGTGTATTAGCTAGGTTCTTGTTAGCTGCAAGACCCTAAAAACCTAACATAATTGTTAAAAAAGAAAAAAGGAGGAAATTTTTATTTCTCAGGCATTTGATCAAGAATCCAGGCTTTTTCTGTCTTCCCACCCTCTGCTCAGACTTCTGCACACCTTTGTTTAACTCGATAGAATTTGATCGCGTCCCCGAGGCTAGATCGGTGGTAGTTCGCCCCCTGGGGCAGGGGCTGGAGCTCACCTTCCCTGAAGTGTGCAGCGGGCGTGCACACAGCCATAAATCCAAGCTCCTCTCAAGGTGGCGGGGGGGGGCTTGGGGGAGGCAACCAGCAAGTCTGTGATAATTCATACAGTTTTCCTAGTTATAATCAGAACTGGAAAACCCAGGCCAGACTTAATGGACAGTAAAAAATACCATTAGTTGAATAATCTGTCTATAAACAGGAGAACAGGAAGATTCAGGAGAGTTTCCTTTCACTTAGGAGTTACGATGAGCTGGGCGGCCCAGGACTCACAACTCCGCACCACACGGTGTCGACGTGGTAGTTGTAGCCCAAAGAGTCTGCAAAACGGGACTTACCAGTCGCTACCCTTGGCCACAGAAGAAGTCAGTAACAACAAACCTAGGACAGAGCTCCTGTTCAGTGACGCGCCTTCCTGGTGAACTTGTCGTGATAGTGCCCTTGCTAGGGTTTGCGCTGACTGTCCCATAAATGACTGCTGCTGAGCATGCTCATGCCTCCTCCCAGGGCCACGTGTGAATCAAGTTAGCCAACAGCTGTCAGGCACCTCTGGCCGGCCGGAGCGTGGCTGGAGCACCCCAGGTCCTGGAGTCGCGCCCCAGTACTCGCCCAAGGCCCAGAGCTGCCTTAGCGCTGCTCCTCCTCCTGCCCTTCTCCCAACCCCCGCCCCCCCACAGTTGTGAAACTCTACACTCTGAAGTGACTGAAAATCACCCCCCTTCCATCACTGCCGTGTCCCCCGCCAGGTCCTCACTTCTCTCACATCAGTTTCAGTGGTTGCTTTCTTCAGTGTTTTCATCTGTTGACTGTTCTGTTGAACGTACGTGTTGTGCGTCTACCAAGTGCCAGGCCCTGTGTGAGAGGCAGATTGTGGACCCGTGAACAGAATGGGCAGGGCCCTTGTCTTCCTGGAGCCCTCCTGTGTCAGGGGCTGGTTTTAAGTAACTGTACCCCTATAAATGATGGCCGGTGCTTCGAAGGATGAACCAGGGAGAAAACCCAGTGGACCTACTTTCCTTGGCCTCAAGCCTCATCTTCGCCATGAGACTGAAGGTGTAACCATGTCAGAAGCATAACTCAGTTACATGGCTCCCTGCCTCAGGACCCCTCAGTCCTTCTTGGCTGCCTTTTGAGTTTATACAAACCCTTCTGCCTACTCTTGAGGTTCCAGGCTCTCCAGAATATAATACTCTGCTATTTCCTGAGGTTTAGTGGATTCCAGGCACATTATAAACACCTCTCATGCCAGCAGCACGGCTCACTGTCCACCCCACTCCTCCTCTCCCTTCTAATCTGGGCCGCACTAGGGGCCCTCCTGTGTGCGCTTGTGAGATCTTGTGCACATTCCTGTCACTTCCCTCCTCCCACCACCAAGGCTCCTTCGCGCCCCTTCTCCTCCATGCTCCCCTGAGGCCTGCACCAGGACAGCCTCTGCCCCTCTACTGTCCAACTCCCCCTCCACCTCACGCGGGCAGCCACTCCACCGGAGCCTGTACGACTGTGCACCAGCTGTCGTGCCAAATAGTCAGGACTGTAACTTTTGAACCAACTTCCTGCTCTCATTAAGGACTCATCAGGATCCATCACATCAAGTGTCACATGAATGTTTACTTCAGTCACTACAGAAACCTGCATATCCCCTAATCCGATTCCCTGCTTCTCGAAGTTTTTTTACTGACCTTTCCCCATGGTTCATAGAACTCCTCTCTACTCCCAGCCTCTTCTCCAGATGCATTTTGAGTTTCTTTCCTTAACCACAACCTGGCTTGTCCCAGAGGAAGAGTCCCCTGCGGCCTCCTACCTCTAATCCCTGATGCCTGGGAGCCGGAGGGATGGTCGGCACCTCTGCCCGTGAAAAACTCCTGGAAGCTATGCCCTCAGGATGCACTGTGCCTCGCGCATGTGTCATTGCCCCCACGTCCCTGCTCCTCCTGATTACTGGAAACTTGAGCCACTCTCACAAAAGTCATCTCCACTCGACTCCTGCCATCACCCTTTGTGACTTCAGTATCATGTAGGTAATCATCTGATGAGGCTGTTTTGCTTTGCACAAATTTTAGCCACTACAGTTCAGTTGGATTACACCAGTCCCCAACAACATGGTCCAGATTTAATTACCACAGTACCTTAGCTGAGGAGGGCATGCAGGGCAAACTTCACAGCTGCGTCTTCAGTCCCCAGGCCCCTGCGTGAGTAACAGATGGGCGTCAGGACTCTTTCAGTCTGCAGTCACTGTCACCGCACGCCTGCTACTTAGCCCTTCAGGTCAGAAGACAGCAGAGCACGTGATTGTGTTGCCTCCTTGTCTCCCAGGGACAAACCCACAACATGTTGTACAAAATAGATCATCCAAAGAGGAAACTGGCCCGAAAAGACGAGAAGTGCATCAAAAAATAAGAAGTGATGATGCCAGAAATGAAACCTGAGAATGACAACAGCGCCACGACGGGACGGGAGCTAAGCCTGCAGGAGCGTCCTGCAGGCACCACGAGGGGAGAGTCTGACAAGCTGGAAACAAGGTGAGGTTGAGGCACCTCCTTTTAGTTTAAATTACTCTGGGAACAGGAAGCTGCGTATGGTTGAGAAAGCCTTTCTTGGCTTTGGATAGAAGACTGCGCTGTATCCGCTGTTCCGCATCTGCAGACTCAGCCAACCACGGGAGGCGGAGCACTGTAGTACATACTCCGTGAAAAGCCCGTGTGGAAGTGGACCTGAGCAGTTCAAACCTGTGTTGTTCAAGCGTCAACTGCAATAATGGGAATAATAATAAATAAAAAACTCAGTCAGTTTGAGGCCAGATCAATTCACGCCAGTGTTGAAGTTAGTTACCATGTTGATTACAAAGGACTGGAAAACAACCATTTTCTGCCAGAGACTGGTCCCACCACTTTAGGTGCTGACATGAACTGCTGCATGTTGGGCTCTCCGGCTGTGCTGCTGTGAAGTACACACCCTGATGTCACAGGTCGGTTGTGGCGGCCAGTGGTGTGGCAAAAGAATGAAGATGTCCTGGGAAGCAAGACTGAGATGACTTCACGGCAAGGAAATTCGTGGGGATATTTTACAGCACTGAAAATGAAAACGGTAAGATGCTGGAAGCCAACCCAAACTGGAAAAGAAGCATGACAGTTTATCAGGGCTTAGAAAAGACAGGTCACAGGATGAGAAAAAGCGGCAAGCACAATTCAGACTTCTGTTGGTAAAGTTTTTACAAAGAGTCTCAGTGCTTCTCCTGTTTTAAGTTATAGTGTATTAAATAAATGTGTTTCACAATTAAAAATTCTGTGTACATTTATAATTGGCAGTAAGGGAGTTTTTAATGTTTTAACAGAAGTTTTTTAAAGTCATAGAACAGAGTAATTTTCCCCTCTGATTAGTAAGATCACTTTGTACGGTTTCACTTCTGTGGTCATTTTTATAGTCTTGTGCTAACATGCAGAGCTAGTGTTGCCAGTGAGTAGGTTCTTGTCCCGTCGCAGAAAGAATTCAGAGACCAGACGTGGAGGTCAAGAAAGTAAAGTGAGGATTTACTGAGGGATGGATAGTCCACTCTCAAGGGGAGAGAGGGCAGACTCAGGTGAGCATCTGCTCTGGGTTTCTTTGGCAAGTTGGTTACAAAGGGTGTAAAAATGAATGGGTGGAATATTCATTGAGGGGGGGATTTGGGGTTGTGTTCCCTGATCTCCACCCCAGCTCCACATTCCCGAGGGGAGGAGGGATTGTGTCCTTATTTAGTCTGGATCAGAAGTGTCATGCCTCAGTGCATGATGGGTACTTCTGATCTGCAAGGCTAGTTTTATTGTAACTAGGGCGTAATGAGCAAAAGGCTACATTCAGACCCTGGAGGTTGCTGCCTTTTCCCACCTTTCTTTGTCGGCCTTCAGGCCGCTTGTTACCCAGAAATTGTGTGACTGCTTATCGGTCCCGAGGTTCCTGCTTTTCTTTCTCTGCCCGGGGACCCCTGTTGTTTACATGATGTGTGGTTTCCGGCATTTGGCCCGGCCCCTCCTTTCTGCCCAGTTCCTGCCCTTTGGCCTGTGTCCCCCTTTCTCTGCTCATATCCAGCTGTCTGCCTGTGGTGACACTGGGACTGTCTGTGCTCCAGGTTCTCAATTCCTTGACCAACTCACCTTCCAAGGCCTTTCCTCTAGCACACCTTGGTCATCTGCTCCCTGGCTGCTCCTGGAGACCTTGTTATCATCAAGGTCAGTATGACCCCTGAATCTCAATTCCAAGCAGGTTGTTCTCATGCAGTCATTTCCTGTCCTAGCTCACCACTGTCACACCCTGAACAGTCACAATTCAATCTCCAACTCACTGACCGTTTCCACTCTAACAGTTCTCTTCTTGTTTTCATCTTTAGATTTCATGGCCCATTTTTACAGTCACTGTACAACCACTCCTTTACAAACACACACTGAGCTCCTTTGCCCCCTTCTTCACCTGGGAAAACCCTTTCCCCAGTGAACTCTTGTTATCTGCTTTGTCCAAGTCTGAGCTCAAGCAGCAGTAGGTACACTTGACTGAGAACACAGCAAAGCCAGACTGAGTGGTTTCACTTTAAACTCATGCCCACAGACCTCCAGGGGGCAAACCACTGGGGATCCTCCCCTCCACACCTCCGCTCTCCTCCGACTTCCTACATCCCTCTCCTCTGCGCCCTCAGCTGCGGATCTCACCTACTTCATCAAGGAAAGAAAAAGCGCCACAGGAAAATCCCTCGGGTTTCCACCACCAACTCTGAACCTGCTTGCATCTGCGGCCACAGTCTGCTGCCATAGGTGGATGGTGCTTCCTCCTCTCAAAGGCTCATCCCAGCATCTGTGCTGCCTTCCAGTGTCCTCAGGGCTGCCCCTCCCAGCATCCATCTGTCTCCTCTCTCTCCTGCAGCAGAACTTCCCCCTCTACGGAGCCATTCTTTTCAGTCTGCACACATGCTCGTCCATCCTGAAAATGACCACATCCCAAGTCTCCAGCTACCTCCTCCTCTACTGCTCTTCACAGTCAGGCTTCTCTCTGCAGCACTCACTCCAGTTCCTAGCCTTCCATTC